ACAGAAACAACTTTAAAAGTGATAGCCAACATGGGTTCAGGAAGGGGAGATTTTGTCAATCCAATATACTTGTCTTTGACGGTGTGACAAGTGAGATTGATAAGGGCAACGCTGGGGATGGTGTATATCTGGATTTCAGTAAAGCCTTTGATACTGTTCCACGTGAGAGGCGGTACTGACAGTAAAGAAAGTGGGAATCGGTGGCAGTATATTGGAATGGACACATGACTGGTGATAGCAAGAACCTCGAGGGCGGTGGTACAGAGTATGTCGTCAGTCGGGGAAAATGTTACCAGTTCATTTCCACAAGGATTTGTTTGGGACCTCATTTGTTTAATGTTTGTATAAATGATATGGAACCGGGAGTCACAAGCACAGCGGCAAAATTCTGCAGACGACACCAAAGTAATGAAGGTGGTGGATTGCGAAGCTGAACAGGAGAGATTACAGGTAATCCAGTCTGACATGACATATGAAGTCAGCGTTGATAAAATTAATTGTTTCCTCAATAGTATTCAAAAATCACTATGAAACGGCAAAGGACTAGAGAATGGGAGAAAGCAGCAAATGCAGGAAAAGAAAATAATACCAAAGGCTATGCAGCTGATTGGAAAACAAGTAGATTTTACATAAGATAATATTTACGCATCTTATTTTATAAATTCAACCAGTGACAGAGGGTGGTAGCGTCAATTAAACTAAGATAAAGCTGTGCGATTGCGTAATAATTGATGAGTAAATGTTTTGCTTCATTCTTTATTGTGAAAGGTTTAAAAATGATGTAAACGTTTCAAAGCAGAAAGAGGGGAGACACCAATTTAATGATGTTGTCGAACTATGGAAACTTACAGCACAGAAAGAGGCCATTCAGCCCATCGAGCCTGTACCAGCTCTTTGAAATAGCAATTCAACTGGTCACTGTCAGGCTCTGTCCCCATAGCTGTGCAGATTTTTCCTTTTCATGTCTGTATATCCAATTCCCTTTTGACAGCACAGCTCATCGGCAGCACCTGGAAGGGCAGACCAGTCACTGGGGGAATGGAGTTATCTCATTGAGCACCTGTTTGACTACACCAACTGCCGGCTCATTGGACTTCCCAACTCTTTCTTCCACAAGATGCAGATTATCCGGAATACTGAAACTTATTCTCTCCCGCTCCAGGCTCCGGGAACTTATCACACCCATTTTTACCGGCTTCACTGGATCCCCATTCTTGGACAACCGAGTACAAAACCCAAGTTCTCAACTTCAAGGTTGTCCACGGTCTTGCTCCCCCCCCACCTCTCCAACATCATAACCCATATCAGGCTGTAGCTCCCTCCGCTCAGTGGACACCAGTTTGCTTCAGGTCCCCCCTTGTTCCTGCTCTTCCTCACAGTCTGGAACTCTATCCCGCATTCCCTCTTTTCTCTCCTTCAAGACACGTCTGAAGACCATCCTCTTCCACCACTCTTCCAACGCCACAGCACTCCATCCTTCCCTTTTGACCCCAACTCCCAGCTTAAGTCCAAAACCCGATTAACCAGCGCACTGGGACATCTTTCCAACAAGAAGACAGAGACGTTTTCTGCTCCAGCCTGCAAATATTGGTGAAATTGTCATGTTTTGTACTTCATTGATTATTATTATACTGTCATTATATTATCAGTAGATTCGGGAATTACACCAGAAGATTTCACGAGACAAATAATGTAAATCCATCTATTTTCTTCTATCTTCATTAAACAACAAGGTCTATCTGCACTGCAAGAAGGATCCCTATATCCCGATTGACGTAGATACATGATTTATACTGTATTAGAAAGTTATTGCCCATGGGAGTGACATGGGCAGATTTGTTTTTGTATATCTCGTATCGTTCATGAGTTACATACAGTTTTGTGTGATTGCTGTAGTTACACATTGTGGCCACCGAGTCAAAGTGGCGCCGTGGGATCGTGCATCACAGAGCACCACCGAACACACTGCAGTTACACCTGGTGGCCACGCCGTGGCGCTGTGGCATTCTTAGCACAGGCAAGCGGCGGGAACCAAATAAAGAACACAGACTAAGCTAAGCCGCGGCAACAGCAACAATATTACATATTTACAGCACCGAGTCCTCCCAGTGAGTTCTCCGAAATGGTGTCCTCCCACAGGAGTCCTACCAGATGAGTAGAGATAAACATGAAATGTCTGTCTGTGGGTGAATCCACATTCCATATTGGATCCTTTGTTTGCAAGTGAAGCTGCAACGGGTACAGCTCGTTATTCAATGAGGTAGAAAACAAACCACTAAAGGGCTGTGAGCTCCAGAGAGTTTAATGGTAATGGTGGGGCAGATAGAGCAGTGGGATATGAAACAGGCGATTGTCACTGAGCAAAGGGAGCAGCCGGTCACTGTGGTTGAAGGAAATCGCAGAGCGAAGTGAGGAAAGTGCTTGAAAGAAGTTACTTGACGGAGACTTTACTACATTTCGAAGCAAAGTATCCAAAGTGTTTAGAAACGTTCTCCAGACGTGAAAGAAACTGCCAAATAGAACGAGTTTTATGTATTAATATGACTATATTCTGCCATCTCTGATTTACCAATCACAGCCACTTGAGGTGACCCAACAGCTGCTGTTGTTGCTGTTGGTGTGAAGGGGAATAATGTATGAAAGGTCCGGCTGTGGGCCCCACGGTGTGAGAGCAGGAAGCTGCTCACTGACTGACTGCACACAATCACAGCTGCTTCCTGACAGTTGTGCTCTGAGTTTCTGCCCCACCTGAAGGCGGTGTGAATCATTCTGTGTGAAGCGTCTTTCAAGCACGAAGACTTTAGATATAAAAAGCAGTAACTTGTTTAGCATTTTGCTCATGAGCTGTTCTGCAACATGAACTATTCCATCACATCCACAAACAATCGTTTCCTGTAAACTCGAAGTCTTGAATAGCAAATAACAAAAATAAACCCCAAACAATATAGAAATATAAAGACAGAGAACTCTCCATCATTTCTACTGTTTGCTGAGTAAAGTCAACGCCTCTTAAATGTATTACCTTGTGATCATTTTCAAGTGATTACCTTATTTGGCCGTTTTCAAAATATGTCAAATATGGCTCTTCTTCCCTACACATCACCGATAGACTGATCACCAAGATTGTCCTCAAATTCAGCAAATAAATAACCTGTTCTTTTCATGAAAATCAGTCTGGAGTAACCACCATTAATAAATTGATTTTAAAAAGATAACTTTGTATTATATTTTATTTCACATTCCATCAAAATCGGAGTATTTTGTGAAGTGGCGACACACAGAGCTGTTCTGTGTCCTGTTGTTTTTTCAGCCGTTACAATGATTATTTCCCGACGTTTGAGATTTGTGTTGTGCTCTGACAGGTTTGCTGTAAGATCGCAGCACTTGTAGACCTTGTACAGGTTCCAGATCCAGTGCCCAAAGGAGAATTCAGGAATCAGTGGCTCCTCATGTCTCACTGCAGCCGATTGTTTCAGTTCAGGATTTCAATGTCAAACAGAAGCTTTTCACTGGGAATTATCTGTTGGTTTCTGATTGTATTGATATGAATATCGGAGTCAGTGAATGTTATACCCTACAGCCTGTGCGCTTTGATCAGATCTAATGCTGGGACTTTCCTACTGATCAACGTTACTTGTGTGACTGTGCAATGGGCCACAGAGAATTACACACCAGAAAGGTGCAAACTCCTCAAACAACAAAGCACAAACACAGAGATTTACTCCCAGACCAGGTGGTGTGTTCATGTTGGGATTCTGAGATCACAACGCTGACTGATATTCCCAGACATTAATCCAAGTCCACTCTCCCGGGTCAGGGGACTATGAATATGCTGTGGCAATTTGTTTGTCGATTTGCGAGGCAACAATCCTTGTGATAATTGGAGCATCATATTCAGACATTGAGGAACACAACACAGTGTCTGATGAGAATTCCTGTTACACTCTGACTCGCAGTTACTGAAAACTGCCGGGATATTAGAGTTGGGAAAAAGTGACACTGACACCATTTCTGATTGAAGCTTCATTTCATTTCTTTCCAGTTTTCTTCACCTCTTGTCCTGAAACAGATTGATTGCTCTGACGTTACACTGGGCTCCCATTCCACCAGCTATCCGGCTTCTCATCCCAAGAGGACATTTCATGGTTTGAAATCATGAGCCATACATTCTGTGAAGTGCTTTGAGACATCGAGCAGCTGTGAACAGGTGCTCTATCAAATACAAGGATTATTATTATTATTAATAATATTATTATTATGTCTTGATGCCCGTGTGGGACATAAAATCAGAATTTTCAGACAAGAAACGGAACAATCAATCCGGAAGATCAGAACATCACTAACAACAGGAAATAATGAATTTTGAATTCTGGTACATTAATTTTTACCCACAAAAAACAAAGTCACTACACATTACTATCCATTGTGTGAAGTGCCTTGAGACGTTTCAATGACGTGATAAGGCATTATGTGAAATGCAAGGATTATTAAAATAATTAATATCATCATAAGAACATGAGAAAATAAGAATTACAGTATGAAAATGAAGTCCATCTGGTTCCCCAACCACTATCCTGGCAGTCGCATGCACGTGTCATGTCCTAAACAATATACTGTGTCGCACAATATTATTTCCAGAAAGTAACTTCTCATTTATTTTTACAAGAATCGACACTTTCAGCTTCATCATCTCTCCCCCTTTTAACAGTCGCTCACTGAAATAGTGTGAACGCAGATTTGTTTTGAATTTCCCGCCTCCTCCACACACACTGCAAACACACACACACTCAGAAACATTGAAGGAAGGAATTTGCGATGCTTCAGGGTCAGCGCGAGGGCTAATACTATTGAGACTTATATTAATATTAATTTGCTGTAAAGGCAGAATGTAAAGGTACAGTTATTGCTGTGTGCAGGTCAGAGGGAATGTGACACGTGACTCCCCTCAGTCCTGCAGCTATTGGTGGGTTCTCCACCCCCTGCCCCACTGCCCCGTTATATAGCGGTCACTGGGGACTGAGGCCATCTGTCCGGCAGCTCTTTGGCCCTCGGTTATTCGGCTCCAGTCTCAGTTCTGACAAGTGCCCAGAAACATGAGGTCCCTGATTTCTCTCAGTCTGCTGCTGGCTGTCTTCTCCCGTGAGTGCTATTATTCTGACAGTCTCACTCTTCCTGTGTCGGTCTTATTCTCTCTGCAATGTCACAGAGACGGGAGGTTTCACAGTCATTAATCTTCGGTCATTTATTCTTTACAGGTGTCCAGGCCGAGGTGGTGCTGACACAGCCGCCGTCTCTAACCGGGAAACCTGGCCATCCCCTGAGACTGACCTGTAAAACCAGTGGGTTTAATCTCGGCAGCTACTACATGAGCTGGGTCCGGCAGGTTCCCGGGAAGGGGCTGGAATGGCTCCTCATGTATTACAGCTCATCCAACAATGCTTTCGCGCCTGGGATTGAAGACCGTGTCACTGTCATCAAAGAGAATTCCAATAACATCTTCGATTTGATCATCAAAAGCCCGAGAGTGGACGACACCGCCATCTATTACTGTGCGAGAGAGTCACAGTGAGAGGAAACGGGGCTGAACTCCTACAAATACACAAGGGGAGGAAAGGCGGCCCCTCCCACCCTAAACTGCCTGACAGTCATGGTGTCAATGCTGTGTCTGGAGCGAAGATTAAAGGAAAAGCTTCAAATGGATTTCTTCTCATGTTAAACCTACACAGTGAGTCGTGGTTTGATGGGGCGAATGATCTGCTTATTGGTGCTGTAATATTCTGGGATTTCAGTTGGTAAGTGACACTGTGCTGTTTGAGGCGGGAAGGACTGCGATTGGAGACGGGCGATGTGACGGTTCACAGATATCCTCTTGTTACAAACTGAGCTGTTGGAGAGATTTGTTTTCTGTTTCTGTGGCTATGAAGAAAGTATTAGATAGACTCGATGTCATGTCACAGGGGAATAGGCCATTTCAGTGAATTTTGGCAGCCAGTGTTGAGCAGACATTGAGGGCAGTATTTGTATGGGACTGTGTCACTGTGTACAACTTGGGGTCACAATGCTGCACATAGCCATCTCCTCATACAAAAACCCGAGCCAGAGAGGCTGCTCACCCCTGTCATCACTGAAACATCCACAGCCTCCAAATAAATGTTACAGAGAGTGGATCCTTCTCATAAATGACCTGGTATTTAACAGATGAATTCAGAATGATTTAGATTACAGGACGGCATTAAACAAGACTGACGTCTGTGGAGCTGCTTTAACATTAATCCAAAGTCTCTAATAAACATAAGGATTTATTCTGACTGAAACATCACATGAAGCCTCACTGGTGAATCTGAGCTGAGGTCCAGTCAGTGTCTGATATTCCAGTCAATATTTGTTAGTTTATCCTGTGCAGGAGTTTGTGTCACAGTGTGTATCACTGTGATATATGGACCACAGCATTAACTGTCAATACAAAAACCCTTCAACACCAAACCAGCTCATGTCTCTCACTGTTCGCTTGTGTGGCCACTTAATGTGCAGGGATTTGGTTTGTTTAAAATGCCGCCTTCCACTGAGGATTTTACCAGATTTTAATCGACATAAAACATAACATTTCATCTTCAATCTGTTGGTGACAAGAAAAGGTGTTTGACATGAACACAGCAAACTGGCAAAGACACAAACATTTAACAGGTCAACACAGAGCCGGGCAATAGTGTTCAGAACATTACAGAAATATATCGTGACCTGCATTTGGTTTGGGGGAGTCAACATTTACAATAATATTGTGTTGGTGTGTCCTGCCCGCACAGCAGGTTGTTGCAGTGGGCAGCCCACTGACTGGAGCACAGTGACTACCTCGACTACTGGGGACAAGGCACCATGATGACGGTGACTAATGGTAAGAAACACACACTTACTCACTCACAATGCTGACATTGTTTTATATGTTTGTTTGATTCACTTTAACAACTATTTGCTGTAATGAATTCCGCGTTGCCAGGCTATCTCGCAGTTTAATGTATGTTAAAGGGGTTTCCCTGATATCGCTTTCAACAGCCACTGTTGATTTATGGATTATTCTCTCAATGTTTAGTTCATTGTTGGTGATATTTTTGGTGGTTAGTGAATGTACAGCTGAGGTTACACTGACGGTCTTTGTGCAATGTCTGATCGCGGTGACTGGCGGTGGGTAGTTTTCGGGTATAATGTCGTCAGGAATAGTATGAAAGTGTTTGAATCTATGCCCACGTGTTGGGAATCAGGGCCGGAATGTTGTTGGATGAGCAATGGGAAGGTTATCTGATCGATTCCAATATGTATTTCAATCTATTATTTAACATAAGGACCGCGGCTGCAGTTTAAAGTGTCTCAATCTGGGGGAGGGGGTGAGTCTGAGAGTAAAGTGGGTTTATACTGCGGGGATGTGATTGTAAACACAGCAGCTCAATCTGCACGGATTTTACAGCAATAATAGTGAAGGTTTTTATTTTAATTAATATCAGCATTAATGTGCTGCTCACAGTCTCGTTGCCTCAGTTGCCCCTCACACCAGTCATGGTTTAGTCAGCGAGAGTGAGAGCTCAGACTTGATTTCAATTGATTTGAACAGCAATCGAGTGAACATGACCGCACTTCCTCACAGTGCACAGACACAAGAGGTCGCTGCGGATCTATAATCATCAGCTTCCTGTTTTACACAAAATGATCTGCAGAAAAAAAGATTTTAAATTTGTTGATTTTCAATAAACAAATGGTAAACTCTGAATCACACACTGCAATGCAACAGATCCAGTTGTTTATGAGATGTTTAACACACAGCGACACTGGTCACTGACACCAAACTAATGATATCAGAACTGATCAGCTCCAACTCCACAGTCGGTAGAGATGAGGGTGAAAGGAATGAGTTTGTCATTTGACTGTAAATACATGATTTAGTTATTCTGTGTAAATAACTGTTTGAGCTGCAGGGAATTGTGACTGTGAGTTACATTGCACAATGTACAATGCTTCACGTGTGATGTGGAAGGAGAGTGTGTGAAGCTGCTGTGCAGTTACTGAGAGCTTCAGCTGAGAGAGAGACAACATGGAGCGACCTGTGGCTTATTGGATGGAAAGAGTTTGTGTTTGAGATGTGAGGGTTCAGGCTGTGATGGTGTGTGAGACCTGATTAACCGGCATTGAGCAGTGTAATAGCAAATGGCTGAACCGGGATATCTCACTGTGTGGAGAGCGGCTGGGAGTCGGGTTCATGTTTAACCCTCAGATCGAGGGGTAGGAAAGAGCAATGTGAAGGTTTGTTTTCATCAATATCTTCCCAGAGGCCGAGAAATTCACTTCCTCTCAGTCTGTGAGGAGACCATTTGTGGTACAGTGTAAAATTGTGCAGAATTATGAATAGTTTCTTCAATTCAGTGTTATATTCCACAATATCAATATAAAAGTGCTTTGCTCCTTAGTCAATGCAGCGTCACTGACATCAAACCCCCGGACAGAGACCTCTGTCTTTATTCAACTATTTAAGAGCCGATGTGTAACACATACTCCAAAATATGCTGTAAACACCTGTGTCCCCATTCAGTGCAGGGCCAGCGGCTGCTGCAGGTTCCGCTGATCCCAATCACAAGTCAGACAGGATTCCCTGTGCGAGGCGTGTCCTGGGCACAGCACTGATTACACTCCTTCATTCCTCAGGTCAACCACTGAATCTGCCCATTATCAGTCAGGCTCTGCCAGTGTGAAGCGCTCTGAGACGCTGCCCTGCGTGGAGGGCGCTATATAAGTGCAAGTTGTTGTATTATTGGGTCTCTCTAGTTTTGTAGCTGAAAGAGTTAATATTGACCGTAATCCATCATTATTCAAACAAATCAGAATAGACTATTTTAACCTCAACACAGTGGCTGTCAGGTGGGAAATTGTCTGTGGAAATTCTGTCACCAATATGAACAGAATAAATTGTTTTAGTAAATGTCAGAACCAGAAAGTCTCAATGTTTAAATTTTCAGACGATTGTTATGACAATATAAGATCATCCGGAGGTTTGAATATTCTTGAAATAAATATTTATTGGCAAATTCAACAGAAGATTTGGAAATCAAAGCAACATTTTAATTAACATTTAATTAATTAAGCAATTATAATCACAGGGACACTGTCTGTCTCTCTGTGTTTCTAAACTTAAAC